AGTCTGGAAGGAGCCATAAAGCGCTGCTGGGCACCTCTCATACCCAGGAGCTGCTGCTGCTGCAGTACACAGGTGAGAAACCAGGTAGGGGACACAGAAACTCCACTCATGTCCATGACCTGACCTTGCTGCTTCACTAGCCGATATTTGACATGTCGTATTGCAGGGGGCGACCAGATGGCCTGCCAGCTCGCAGGGCCACCACAGCAGCTACACAGCATTGCCAGCTGCCTACCTCACCTTCCCACACAGCTCCCACACCAGCACCACCTGCTCCAGAAGCGCCTCAGCATCCCTGCAGCTGGTGAGTGGTCATGGGGCATGTAGGTCATGCAGGGGCAGCAGCCAGCAGTTGGTGCTGTATTGGGCATGCATCAAAACGCAAATGCTACTCAAGATGAGATACAGATGGCTTAGGAGAGGACATAGGGACAAACTGGGAAAGAGGAGTGAGTCCTGCACCCACGGGGAGGTGAAGTAGGGTATGTGGTGATGATGCCCTATTTATCCCCATAGGGCTGGCTGCCGTGCAGCATGAGCAGGGTGAGCAAGAGTCCCTTCTGGTGTTCCAACTCTCCGAGGCAGGTGATGTCTTCTACCAGATGCTGAGACGTGAAGCAGCACCCTCACCTGTTCCTGACCAGGGGGACGAGGCAGAACCAGCTCCCACTCCCAACAAGGAGGATGAGGCCGCAGCATCCCCTGGCTCTCCCATTCTGTTTGGCAGTGAGGAAGAGGAACAGGAGGAGGAAGAAGAGCAGACCTTCTACTTGTCCAATCTAGAGGTGATAATCAATGATGAAGAGGAAGAGGAGGAGGAGGTAGTGACCACGCCAGCAGCCACTGAGGAACCTGAGCCTCTTGCCAGGCCCAAGCCTGCCCCAGATGTGCCCAGTGCAGCTGCAGCTCTGCGGTACCGCCGCTGGCTGCGGGCACTGCTGCAGGCATGGATGGGCTCCCCAGCATCGTCCTGCCGATCAGGGCCCCCTACCCTCAGTCAGCGGCGCCTCTTCACCCGCAAGGAGCTGTCAGAGATGGCACCAAGTGTCCTACAGCAGTACCAGCTGCAGCTGCGCCAGGCCATGTGTGAGCGGGGCCGCATCCAGCGCTGGGAGCCAGCCCCAGAACCTCCCAGCCCAGCACCCTCCTTGGAACCCAATGCCTTGAGTGCCAGGCTAACAGCAGCATGGAGAGGCGAGTGGGGGGCCGTGGGGCCAGCTGGCAGCACCCTGCAGAGGCAACAAGCACTGCGGGAACGGCGGCGGAGGCAGAAGCGCAGCCGGGCTCACCGCAGCCTCTCAGCCAGCTTCACCTCCTCCATCACCTACCAGTCTGAGCTGTCCGAGCTCAGCGAGGGGGCCACTCCCCGCACTCCCCCGTCCACCCCACGGGAGGTGGTGGTGTCCTCTCTGCCCGGCACCCCCCCACCGCCTCCCACCGAGATCCTGCTGTCCTCTCAGGAGCTGCGATCCCGCGGCATCCCCAAGGAGCGTCGGCGCACGCTGCGGGACTACCTGTCCGTGTGGGCCGAGGGCCCGCAGGATCCCCCCGAGGCCCCCAGCAGCATCACGGTGCAGCGCTGCATCCCCTCCTCGCAGAGCCAGCTCTCCAGCTCACAAAGCCAGCTCTCCTCTGCCTCGCAACCGCGTCGCAAGCGGCCCCGTATGGGCTTCTGAGCAGCAATAAACGCAGAGTGGCACTGCTCTCGTTGTCAGGATCCTTGGGAGAACCCACGCGGAACGCGTGGAGGTGACGGCGCGGGCGGGTGTACGCTCGTCGGTGTGTGGGTGAGCGGGCAGCACCGTGCTCGCCTCCTGCGGGGTGGTCGCAGCGTGTGACACTGTGCCGTGCGCGTCACGCGTGGGGGCATGGAGGAGCGTGCGGGCCCTTTAAGGCGCGGGAGTGACGGGGTGGGAGCCAATGGGAGCGCGGGGCGGGGGCGGTGCCGCTGCGGGCGATGGCGGCGGTGCTGGCGCGCGGGTTGGCGCGCGTCTGGGTGGCGGGGGCGCGCGCTGGGCAGGTGGGCGGGGGTGGGCAGGGGGCGCGGGAACCGCGGGGGCGGAGCCGAGGGCACCGCAGGGGCGCGGGGCGGCAGGGAATGGAGCAGGGGGATCCTCGGCGGTGCCCGCGCTGCCCTCCGTGCGAAGTCCACGGATGAGGGAGCGCCTCCTGCCGCGCGTCTTGTCTCACTGCGGCCTGTGCCCACGCGTGCGGCCCCGACATCGACTTCGCGCCTCCCCACGCCCAGTCCCCACCTCGCACCCCTAACGTGCCCGCGTGGCCGCAGCGCGCAGTCCCCTCCCCACGCGCGCCGTGACATCCCCGTGTGTCTCCAGCGCTGCCGCTGCGCGGCCGGCGGGCAGGACGGAGAGGTGGGCAAGGCGCAGCGGGTGGCCGCCGAGGTGGGGACGGAGCCCACCATCTTCAGCCGGATCATAGCCCGCAGCGTGCCGGCCACCATCCTGTATGAGGATGATGAGGTAGGGGTCAGCGGAGCGCGCGTCACGCCGTGGGTTGTACCCACGCGAGAGAGCTCAGCCTGTCCTCCCTCCCTCAGTGCCTGGTGTTCCGCGACGTGGCTCCGCAGGCGCCCGTCCACTTCCTAGTGATCCCCAAGCGCCCCATCCCTCGGCTGAGCCGCGTGGGTCCGCAGGATGCGCAGGTGAGAGGGTATGGCTGCCGAGGGCAGAAGTGGGGTGAGGGACGCGGGGCTGAGCCCCGGGCTCCGCTCCCACAGCTTCTGGGACACCTGATGGTGGTGGCAGCGCGCACGGCGCAGGCGGAGGGGCTGTCCGACGGCTACCGGCTGGGTGAGTCGAGTGTCCCCACCGCGTGTCCCCCCACGGTTGACACTCTCTTCCCTGATCCTTGCTCCTCTCCCCGCAGTCATCAACGACGGGAAGCACGGTGCCCAGTCGGTGTACCATTTGCACCTCCACGTGCTGGGCGGGCGGCAGATGAACTGGCCCCCCGGCTGAGGTCCCCCGCCCCCCTTAGGTTACCCCACAATAAAGTTTCTTGGGGACACGCAGTGGATTTTCTGGCTCTGTTTTGTGGTGACTCTCTCACAGATGGAAGTTGGTTTTAAGTTCTGACCCATCCTGCACTGTACACACCAGACCATGCACAAATGTGCAAAACGTTGCATTGCACAGTCCAGATCCACTGTGCATCCAACGCTGTGCAAAATGTTGCATTGCACAGCGCAGGCCATACACCACCATGCACAGCACATTGCATACATCAGCAGCAAACGTGCATCTGCTACAATGCACAACACGTTACACTGCTTACCCCAGCCTCTTCCACCCCGCACGTGCAGAACACGCGCAGCGCACTCCTCTCGGAGCAGCTGCGGGCGCGGTTCCAGTCCATCCGGACACGTGCAGGGCCGCAACGCGCAGGCGCCCGTGGGCTCCCTGCCCCGCGCCTCCCGCTTCGTCCGCCGCTAAATTTAGCGCGGGGCGGGCGCTGGCGCAGCGCGCAGCCCACCTGGCACCGCAGCCTGGGCCCGCGCCAGCAGCCCGGGGACCGCAGCCGCCGGGGATAATGTGGGGTCTGTTCAGCAGGGTGCTTCTGCTGGGGCCCGGCTGGGGGGCACCGGCGGGTCCCTGCTCTCCGCGTGCTGCTCGCAGACCCCCGAGGTTCCCGTTAGGAAGAGCTGGGCCCCTCCTGTACGGCTGGCAAGCAGCAGCAGCACAGCAGCAGGAGGTTGACGAACGCCAAAAGCACTCCTTGGGTTGGGGAGGTTCCCAAAAATGCATGGGCGCCGAGACACCGTCTTCGTGCCACGCCGTGGGGAGCGCGGCGGGCGAAGGTCCAGAGCTGTTCTCATTCCTCAGCCAAGCACTATCGCAAATGACGCAAGTTCTCCAAAGAGATCGCGGGGGGAGGGGGGCGGAGGAGCAGGGGAGATGTGTCACCGGCACGCCGTGCCCAGATGTGCTTCGGCTCCGGGCCCCTCCACAGGGCTCCAGCACGGACGGCCCCAGCGGCTGCCGCAGCCCCGCTGCCCCCGCCTGGCGCAAGGCCGAGCGCCTGGGGAGGGGCCGCCGCGCTGGGGCAGGGGGTGGGACGTGAGGTCGGCCAGGATAAACAGAGGCCCCAGAGCCGGAGCGCGGTGGCACCGCCGGCGCACACCGCAGAGCGCTGCAATAACAGCCCGGGGCCGCCGCCGCCGTCAAAGGGCCCTTCTTCTGCTCGGCGGGGCGGGAGCGGGGCCGGCGTCCTGCAGGCGCTGAGGGCGGCTCGGCCCTGCCCTGCCTGCCCCGGGCTGTCACTGTGGGGTCGAGCTCGCAGCTGGGCGCCGGGCACGAAGGCCACGCCCGGCCCCGCAGCTCGCACATGGCGCGGCCGCGCCGGCCTGGCCACGCCCCCTTTTGCCCCGGCCACGCCCCCTTTGCCCCTCTCGCTCCCTTTTGCCCCCTTTTCCTCCTGCCCCGCCCCTCGCTCATCCCCGCCAATGAAAAGCGCGCCCGCACGCGGCGCCGCCAATCAGCGCGCGGGAAGCGCGCTGGTTCACCGTCCCCATGGAGATGCGGGACGCGGCCATGCAACGCGGAGCGCGGCGGGGGCCCGAGACCCCCGAAGGGTGGGTCCGGGACACCGGGGGGGGGCGTCGGGAGCTCATTGGGGTCACGAGCCTTGGGGGTCTCCGGGGTCATTTGGGGGTTCAGAACACAGGGCACATGGGCGGTGAGAGGCTACCAGAAGGTGTGGAGCACGGATCGCACCATGGGAAGCAGACCAGCTGTTCCTTTGTCCCCACGCAGGGTGGCTCTGACCGGCCACGTCGTTCCCGTGGACCCCACAGATGGACCCGCGTGTGGGATCGGGCTGCGAGGTGAGGTGCTGCTGCCCATGGTGTCCCCGTGCTGCAGAGACATGGTGGCTGTAGCTGAGGAGCCCCAGGAGGCGATGACGACCCCGACTGAAGATGCACCTAAGGTGGTGGACACAGAAGAGGACCAACACGAGGTGCCGTTGACTCTGACCAAGGATTCCCCTAAGGTGCTGGTGTCCACAAACAAGGATCTCCCTGAGGTGCCGGCAGAGCAGCTGAGATGCAACATGCCACGGGGGACCTGCCTGATCCACAACTGGCAGGAGGAGGTAAACCCCCCCACCCCAAAACCAGCCCGGAAACCACCGCGAGCCCCTGCTCCCTATCCTGGGGATGCCCTTGAGTTTTGCAGGTGGGGAAGGAGCCTGACAGCGCCCACCCTGAGGGCTCAGCTGAACGCAGGCAGGGAGGTTCAGAGGGAGGCTGCACTGGAGCAATGGTGCATGTTCCAGAAGCATCCATTTAGGCAAAAATTAGATGGAGGACACCCAAAATACCCACTGGGTGCCCCTAGACCCCTACATCACAGGGCTGAGGTTTCCTCCAAAAGGAGCTGTGAGCATTCTGGGACAGTGACTCCATGGTGCGCCCCACACTGTGTCCCCAGAGAGCCACCAACCACCTGGACTATGTGGTACCACTGGAGTTGGGCAGCGAGGGCTTCATCTACCGGCACGGTCACCGCGGGCTGCTGGCTCCCCTGCACGCACCAGTCTCATTGCCTTGCAGCACCACCAAGGATGCCTTCCGCCCACCCCACAGAATCCCACTGCTGGCACAAGGTGCAGCCTCAAAAAAGGGGAGAGGGGTTTTGGGGCAGAGTGGGGGGACATGATGCTGAAGATGCTGGCACCCCACAGGGCAGCGAGAAGCCATGCTGGAGAGGATGCTGTACCAGAAGTACCGGTGAGCCTGTGGGACTCCAAGAGAAGCCCAGTCCTTAGGGACTGCAACATTGGGCATGAGGAGGGGTGACCTGTGCACCTCCCACTGCCCTGTAGGCAGGAGCTGATGGAGGAGATCCACCCACCTCCTGGTTCCATGGAGACACTCTCCACCACACACCAGGATTATCGGGCAGGAGGCTTCCAGCCCACACCCCCACTGACCACCCAGGTACTGCCTGCTACCCTGCATCCCAAAGAGAGGGTCTCTACACGACCTCCCAACTCACAGGGGATTTCCCCTTTTCTTCTGCAGCCCCATAACTACCACATGGAGCAGCCCCGCAGCTTCTGGCTGGAGCGAGTCCACAGCGTGCCTGTGAGTACCCACACCCTGCCCCACCACCTTGCTGTACCCACTGCTCACAAGGGTCTCTGTATCTCTCCCCTCCAGGGTGTCACCTGCATCCGCGCTGGGGACAGTCCCTTCCGTAGGAACGCCACCTTCTCCACCCCCATCACCGAGTATCTGGAGCAGCCTCTGCCCTATGAGGCAGCTACCCGCCAGCCGCAGCCCAGCATGCAATAAAGAGCAGGGGTGAGCCTTGCTGCTGGCACCCTGGTGTTCTCTGGGATGTTCCCAGAGCAGGCTGCGGGGACCCCAAATCCCAATGCAAAGGGGCATTCTGTGGGGCAGCACACCACAAAATGCGGCACATCCCCTGGGAGGTGTCCCTCCACAGTGTCCACAGTGGATGTCACATATCCCCGCCCCATCCCTATTCCCAGGTGGGTGACTTGCATCCCCATTCCCAGGTGAATGACGTGTCCCCATCCCTGTCCCCAAGAGGATGACATGCAACCCCATCCTTATACCCTTGGTGAGTGTCAAGTGTCTCCATCTCTGTCCTCAGCCCCAGGCAGATGGTATGTGTCCTCATTCCCAGACTAGTGACACACATCCCTATCCCCATATTAATGACACGTCTCCTTCCCCATCTCTGTCCCTAGGTGGGTGATGTGTCCCCACCTCCATCCTTACCCCTGGTGGGGGATGTGTCCCCATCCCCACCTGCCCCAGGGCTGCAATTCTGGCCCCACACCCTGCCCTCCAAGGTCCACACCTCACTGGGACAAAGCAAAGCACAGGAGCTGGGAACAGCAGGACTAAGGGCAATTTGTATTTCAACAAAATAGTCTGTGCACACGCTTATATTTACACCTGGGAAGGGGATATTTACAGGGCTGGGGGGGCTATATACATAGGGAGGTGTAGAGAGGAGCAGCAAAGTCTAAGCCTGTTCCACTCCTTTCCTCTCTTTGGGAAAGGGGTGAGACAAGTGTGGGGGGAGCTGAGTACTGAAAAGAGAAGGCAAAATGCCCTGCAGGGCAGCCAGGCCCTGGGGACGGCTCAGACCCGCCGAGCCGCAGAGGTTGGGGATGGGGAGTCCGGACCCGAGAGGCTGGGGTGGTTGGGAGGCTCCTCCCACCCAGGGGCAGCAGGAGGCTTGGAGGGAGCTTTGCTGGTGCTGATGGAGGGGACAGGCGGTGCAGTGCTCACTGAGCCCCCGTGCCCCAGTACTGCTGCGGGGGGTCCTGGTGCACCCCAAGGGTGGGGGGGCTCCGCTGGGCTCAGACAGCTTTGGGATCTTTCCGCTCGCCCAGCAGCCAGTACGTCCGCATCTTCCCCTTGCCCTGGGTGGGGGGAAATGGTCAGATCCCCCAGGACCGCGGTCCCCACGGTGCCATCCCCAGCACTGCATCCTCACCTTCATCTCCACATCTCCGCGCAGCTCCAGCTCAAAGCAGCCGAACTCATCCAGGACTTCTTTGGTGGTGGAGGAGACATGGATCTTCAGGGCTGGGGTGGAAAGGGACATGGATGGGGCTAGGAATTGGATGCACCTGTGGTGCTCAAGGCAGGGTTGGGTACCGCCAGCCCCGTGGCTCACCCTGTCCATTGGACTCCATGCGAGACGCTGTGTTCACTGTATCCCCAAACAGGCAGTACCGCGGCATCTTCAGCCCCACCACTCCTGCGCAAACAGGACCTGGAGGCACCGAGATGCTCAGGGGTGGCGAAAGGGCAGAGAGCATCCCACCATCTGCAGCCTGATGGTGCAGCAGCCTCCCAGCACCCCAGGGCTCACCGGTGTGAATGCCGATGCGCAGACGCAGTTGGTCATTAGGCCGGTGCCGGATTTTGAAGGTTTTGACGGCTTCCAGCAGGGCCAGGGCCATGCGGACAATCTCATGGGCGTGCAGCTTGCCGTTGCGCACTGGCAGCCCTGACACCACCATGTAGGCATCCCCAATGGTCTCCACCTGTGGCAGTGGGGTCAGGGGGAGCGAGCACCCATTGGTACCCACCTTGGTGCCCCATACCCCTTACCTTGTACACGTCGAAGTTGTCAATAATGGCATCAAAGCAGGTGTAGAGGTCGTTCAGCAGCGTCACTACCTGCAAGCAGCACAGTGGGGATGGTGGCAGCAGGATGTCCCCAGCCCTGCGTATGGCACTGCAAAGCATGGCAAGCTCCCTGCCCACCCCAGCCCTGCTCCCACCTGCATCGGGGTGCTCTCGGCCGAAAGTGCGGTGAAGCCCACGATGTCGCTGAAGTAGATGGTGACGCTGTCGAAAGCCTCAGCTCGCACCGTCTCCCCACGCTTCAGCTGCTCCGCCACAGAGCTGCCAAGGAAAGCAGGGACAGTGGGTGCTGGGGGTCCTCTCCTCAAATCACCCCTCCTCCCCGCTCCTTTCACCAGCACCAGCACAGGGGGCAAGGAAGGACTCTTGTGCCCTCAGCCCCACATCGGCCCCCAGCCCTATGCAGCCCCCCTCACTGGGGCAGGATCTGGTAGAGGAGGTTCTCCGCCTTGCGCTTCTCCTCCAGGTAGGCTTGGGTCCGCTCCTCCACCAGCTTCTCCAAGTTGTTGGCATACTGCTCCATGCGTGACAGGAGGTTGTCCAGGATGCTGGTGCTGCCCTCCCTGCAAAGACAGGGGCAGCTGGGCCATGGGGACAGGGGGACACCCCCCTGGTGGCAGTCCCCACTCCCAGGTGGAGCTCGGGCCGCTGCACCCCACTCCCCAGCACCCACTTGTTGAATCTGCGGATGAAGATCTTAATCTGGCTGAAGTCAGGGCGCTCAGCGGGCTCCTGCGCCCAGCAGCGCTCCATCAGCACAGCCAGCTCCTCACTGTGCACCCCAGTGTCAATGGAGGGCCGGAAGAAGGGCTTCTGGCTGTTGCGTACCTTCTGCACAATCTCTGTCCAACAAGCAGGGGCCGATGGTGAGCAGATGCCCCCAAATCCACCCAGTACCTTCCCATCCTCCTCAAATCTCACCAACCTTTTGGGCTCAGGTCCATGCCCTCAACGTAGAAGGGGCCATTGCGCAGGGCAATCTCCTGCACAATGATGCCAAAACTGTAGACGTCGGCTTTCTGCATGCCCTGTGCAGGCAGATGGCCCTTCTGCAGCAGCTCTGGGGCTGTCCAAAGCTTCTCTGTAGAAACAGAGCCACAAGCAGTGAGGTAAAGCCCCAGTTCCCCTTCCACCCATGTCCCCATCCCCACAGTTAAGTGCTCACTGGCATAAAGGGCATGTGTGTCCTCGCTGTCGCAGGGTGTGCGGAAACTGGCCAGCCCATAGTCAGTGATCTTCAGCACAAAGCGGCTGTCCACCACGCAGTTGGAGGACTTGAGGCTGCCATGGTGCCCAATTATGCTGTTATGCAGGAAGGCCATTCCCTGTACCCGACACAGAGACACTGTGACACCAGCGCAGTGTCACAGCATCCCCTTCGAGCCAAATGCGCCCTTGCTCAGGTACCTTGACGATGTCATTGATGAGTGAGTAGCGAAACATCCAGTCCAGGTTGATGCTCTCATTCTCCAGAATGTCCTGGAGAGGCACAGTGGGCACCAGGACAGTGGCACCAGCACCACTTGTTGGCCACTCCATCCCCACCCTCACCTCCATCTCCACCCTTGTTGTCATCCTCGTTCCCATTCCCATTTTCATCCCCACTCCCACCCCCATGTTCCCACCCCAATACCCATCCCAACCTCATCTTCACACTCATCTCCATCTTCATTCACACCTCCATCTCCATTGTTCCGCCCCAATCCCCATTCCCCCACCCCCATCTCAATCTCTCTCCCCATTCCCTTCCCACCTCCTCCACCCTCCCATGCCCCCCCACTACCTGCAGGCTGCCCCTTGGGCAATACTCAGTGACAATGCAGATGTTGGGAGGATCGATGCAAGCCCCAATGAAGCGTGTCAGGTGGTTGAACTGGATGTCCCGCATCTGAGGATGCAAGCAGAGCTTGGTGGGGACAGGCAGCACCCAGTCGCCCCACCACCACAAGGAGCAGATGCTGCACTCCAACAGGGCACAGACCCCATCCCAGACCCCACACCTACATGTTTTAGCTCGAAGAGCACCTGCCGCGTCAACTCAATGCGCTTCTTGTTGACATGCTTGATGGCCACCACGTTACCCTGGGGACAACAGAGGGGTAAATGCCCACCAGGCAGCCTTGGGAGATGTGCTATCATCCCATAAGGGTGCAAACTGACCTTGAAGTGCCCAGTGTTGGCGAAGACCTGGTACTTGCCATGTGTGGTCATCAGTGAGCCATAGCTGGAGCCACGCTGCAGAGAGGTTGCATTAGGAAGAGGGACCCCAGGAGGGTTGGTGGCACCCATGGAGCAGGGGAGGGGCAGGACAAGGTCTGGTCTGTAGGGTCAGCATGAAATCTATAGGCTATGTGCTAGCGGGCATGGGGAGCTGTGGAGATGCAGCATTACAGGGGATGGAGGGCCACACAGGGGCTGGATGCTCCACAGGGACTCCACGTTGTGGGGGAGATGGAAAGACATGGATGAAATGTGACTCTGAAGGGGATGGAGCACTCCGTAGGAAATAGATGAAGTGTGGCTCTACAGGAGATGCAGAGCTTTGCAGGGGATGGACGAACATAGGGAGTACAACATTACTCTGCAGGAGACAGAAGGGCTGTGCAGGAGGACAGGACAGGGACAGGAGAGGGGCAGAGGGCTGATATCTCACCAGGGACAGTGTGAGCCGGCTGCCTGCTCCCTTATGGTACCGCTCTGCACTCCCAAAGTGCAGTTCATCCCAGCGGATCCTCCACAGCATGCTGGCCAGCTCCTTCTCCAGCATCAGCTTCCTGAGGGGCAGCGTGGGTCAGCCAGCCTATCCCTATTGCCCCCACCTGCTGCCCCCTAGCCCGCACCCACCTGAAGATGAGGAAACTGGAGATGCCAAACATGACAAAGGTGAGCCCAGTGCCCAAAGCCACGATGGCCAATGTGGAGAGCGGGGCTGCCATGGTTCAAGGTTCAGGTTAGGGGGGCTGCTATGGGGCTGCCCACCCCCAGGGAAGGATGGAGCGGGACAATCCATGCACCCACTTTTATCGCAGGAGGGGTCATCCACATCGAAGACGCAGGGGGGGTTGTCCAAGGGGGGAGCCCCCTTCACCCAGCGGATGGGCCGCCCCAGCCAGTGGATCTGCTTCTCTGTACCCGAGTAGTGTCCCACCACCTGCAGGGAGACAGCTGAGTCCAGCCCC